TAAAGCGAAGGTCGCTGGTACCGAACCGGTGTTTCGTTGAACGTCGATATTACTTGTCTCCTCAGAGAAAATCGTCAACTGTTTATTTTAAGTAAATATCACTCGGTACCGAGCTGATGTTTCGTTGAATATCGGTGTCACCTATCTCTGTAAGTTGCGACTTTCTCTTGAAACCCAATGTCACTGTTAGTATGCTCCAAAAATTTTTAAGTCACTGGTATCGAATTTGTGTTCCTCCTGTTGCCCAGAGAGACTACCAGAGCGCGTGTATCTTCCTCAAAAAGATGTCAATCTCGTGAAAAGCAACGCGAGGCGAGTGGTGTTGGTCGATCCCCTTTTCCGTGGTTTGTCAAGGGAACGAAGGATTGTCGACCTTCCCGTTCCCGCGGAGGTCCTCGACGTCGTCGAGACGTCGCTCTTTACGCAACGGAGCGTTTCGAGTGACAATTCGACCGGCGTGGGAGTGGTGACGTCACCAGGTGCAAAGAAACCGCATCCGTCGAGGTCCAAGGGTACGCGTTCGCCCCCGTAGTGTCACTCGTGGTCGTCGGAGTGGTGCGAGACGGGAATCATCGGCCAGAGGGGTTGAAAGAGAGGGTGGCGCGCACGTGCAGTGCCGGAAAGGACACGTTCTTTTCTTTCTTATCCCGAAAATCGATCGTTAAGACACGGTGCATCGAATGACACACGTCGCGGTAGGGGGATGGACGCGTGCACGGGTCACCGCCGAGACACACTGTGACACACACGTACACCACATACACACGCGCAAGTTCCGTCTCTGCACCGTCGAATTCCTCCGTTACCCGAGGGCACTCGCGTCGCCTTGAATCCGTACCTGGTGGCGTTCACGCGAACGCTGCATCGCCCCTCGCAAAACCGCGACACTTATTTTTTTTTTTTTATTCCCCCCGCAGGAAACGCGAACGAGAGAATCGCCGGGATTGGAATGCGATTCGCGGGTGCAGCCCGGTATTAATCGCAACACTCGCCAACCGCCACGATATACTCGAGAAGACTGGAGCCTCTCGCGGTAGGTGAGGCCCCCCTTCTTTCTCTCTTGCGCGCTTTCAGTGTTGTACCCAGCCGCGCCAGGCCACCGGGCGCACGCCAAAATTTCATCGCCGCGACCAATCGAAATCGAAGGCGCGTTTCGTTCCCCGTCGTGAAAAGAAGCATATTTTATGATTCAATGCATTTGCAAAAGGATCATCTTTCGTAGTACATTTAAGTCTGTCACGAAAGTACCTTTTTTTGGTTGCAAAATAATCACGTTTGAATAATTGAGTACGAACGGAAAACTTGCTTTTATATCACACCAACTGACCGGATTTAATTTTTTTTTTTTTTGAGTATATAGGTGAAATGTGAGTGACTCTGATGTGATCAGATCTTTGTCCTAATCTGGTCACAATATATATCTTATATGGCCCTTTTTGGTCAATCGAAATATACAGTATAAAATAAAACGTATAAATATAAGGTGATTTGTTTTTCAATTTTAAAATATAATCCTTTCACCAAACTGTTAATAATCATATTAATAAAACAAATTAAAAGTATCGATGCCTGAATTAGTGTCGTAACTGGAACATAACCGAATTTCTATTTAATACACGACGAACAAAAGATGATCTTTTATTTGTTATTAGAAATTTGTATCTAATTAGACGAGAATTTTTCTCTGCGTGTTATGGAAAGGGTTCAGCACTTTCGAATAATTTCAAATAAATGAATGTTAACAACCATGTTATTATAATCACAGCAATGTACGATAATAATACTTGGCGTTAGGTAAACGAAAAGTTCTTGAATTTATTTAAGTTGACTTACAATTTCATACTACAAAATAATGAACAATGTCATTGCTCAAAATAAATTCGCTCGAATTGATCGATTATGTGTAATTTTTAAAACGAGTATTCGTTTGGTAAATTCTTCGTTTGAGAGGAAGTGAATGTTTAAATCAAGTCCATCGCGCCGAATGGAATATAGGAGGTGAAGTAACCGAGAATTGGTTCATTAAATTCGGTTCCCACGCCAGAAAAAGTACTTGATTGCAGTAAAAATGAATTTTACTTTTAATTCCTGCGTATGGGCCGAAACTTTCGAGCAAACATAATTGGAAAAATATTCTCCGTAATGTTATCTTATCGCAAGAAAGAAAATAAATGTTTCGATCGCGTTGAAAAAATATTTTAATGCGAACTTAAATAGTTCTATATAAAGATTAATTCTACTAATAGTGCTTCGTTAATTAATTCTCAATCGTCAATTTAATCATACAATCTTATTTAAAAGACCATGTATCTTTCTATCAGCTTCGAAAAGATTAACAAATTTTTTCCCCCCTTGCAAGATAATGCCTGAAAAAGCAAATTTTCAATTCCTACCTATGCAAACATCCATTTTGTATCGTTGAGAGTAAATGTATGAGAAGGGGCCCAACTATTTTATCAACCTTACGCTCCTGCGATCGAAACCTTTCTCTCTCTCGCGCGATCCCTCTCTTTCTGTCACGTGCTACGTTACTCTCCGTTGCGCTCTTCGTCGCACCAGAGAAGCTGTCTGCGTCTATCAACTCGTACAACCGTCCTTCTCCCTCCAATGCCTACTCTAGACTACGCTCTTCCGCCGTCGCGCCGAGTCGGCTACGCTCGTGAGTACTCGGCTCGAGTACGTGAAAAGCACGCAGGGAGGGGGTAAGTCTACGCTCGGGAGAAAGAGAGAGAGAGTGTTTCGCGCGCGTAAAAGAAGGACAGCGATGCAATGAAAGAAACGAAGCGAGCGTAAGAAAGAGCGCGGACCGAATGAGCGACGGAATGAGCGTAAGAGCGAGCGAGCACGTGAATGAGTACGCCAACGAGCGTAAAAAACAGAGCGGTGGGGGTGAGACGGCACGTGACTCGAGCTCTGTCTCGCGCACGGAACGAGTAAATGAATGTACAGAACGGAGCGAGAGGAACGGTGAAACGAAACAAAGTTGAAGAGAGCACAATGTGGTAAAAAGAAAAGCATTGTACCTGGGCAAGTATTGCACGGAAAAAGAGGCGCGTTAAGAGGCTACGAATGGAGAAAAACTCGCGAAGAACAGCCACACCCGGCGCGCTATTTAATATTTCAGAAATCTAGAATACTAAGTTTTTGTTTTATTTAAAAAAATTAAAACTTGTAAAGAACAGCTGATTATAAATAAATTGTAGTACAAGGGCTTATCTGTTTGTACATAATGACTGAGATTAAAACCCTAGCGTGCTCTGGCTAGAAAAATGTGCATCAGAGGTATAATCAGATAGCATAGAGTGTTGCGGGATGTAATTAGCTGCATACCGAAATGTAACCAACGCTTGTTTCTGAGGGAATACGTTCAGCTAGAAGCGTAGAGTAAGCTGAAAGGAATGCAATTGGTGAAAGAGCATGAAGAGACTACCAATCAATAGGTATTTGCAAGTAAAAGGTATTACATTAAATACAAGTTTATATGCTTAAACGAACGTAACAGTATTAATGTAAGCTCGTTAAACTTTTACAAGCATTTAACAAATGAACATCCTAAGGTATTAAATCTCTCGAGACTTTTAAAACAAATTAAACTCTTCCAAAAACTGTAACACGTAATAAATAGTCTCCACTATCCAGATTGATGCAGCTATAAACAAGAGATAAAAAATTTTACACTTTTCTATCGAGTATGTGTGCAAACAAGTGTATAAATTGTGCAATTTTTATTCGACGGTCGATTGCACACGGGGAAGGTGAAGAACGAGCTTGGTAACAAGTGTTCGAAGCAGAGGGGAAAGAGAAGACGAATCTATTAAATTAACGTAGTGAAAATTTGCTTTTCCTTTTCAGAGCGATTGAATTTCATTAAAGGCGGATTATTTAATACATTCGCCGTTAAAGTGTCTCGTCTCACATACACGTTGATGGAACGAGGTTACACGATTAATGAGAATTTCCGTGGTTCGGGGGACACAAAGAGAGAAAACTGCGACCGTAACCCTGGCGCAGGACGATTTATGAGCGAGATCGCTATGCGCGTAATATACACCGTGACCGTGAAATTAAAATCGAATTTGGATGATATATACCGGGGAAAAAATGATCTTCGTACTTTCCGCCAAACTCGATCTATATTTTATTCACCGAATAGGAAAAATATTCGAAGTAATTACATTCGTGAGGATTTAATCCCGTTAAACTCCACTCCATTAACTAAATATTCAGTTTGCCAATGTTTACAATCGAATTAACGTTCCAACGGTCCGATAAACCAAACGGTTCCAAATCCCCTAAATCAATGTTTTCCAAAGAAGGAGGTTCGAATCCTGAAATGCAGATTCGTACGATCCAAGGGGAACGCGAGAAGGAAACTTTTAATGTAAAATGTAAACGGTGGTATAGTTTTTCTTTTTGTAAAAGTTGCAGGGAGGAAATATGTCGCTTCGTTTTTCTGTACACCGGGTACGCTTGGAAACTCTCTCTAGATTGTACACGCTACGATCGATTTCTATCTCGGCAGCTTCTTCGCGTAAAGCGAATTCAGTATGATATTGAGTGCAAGAAGAAAAAGAAACGAACGACGTTGTTGGAGAGATGCCACGAGGAATGTGTGTACACGTACCGGAACAGAAACACGACCTAATTGCGACAAACAGATCGAGCCCGACTAACAGCGCATTTTTCGCGAGCAACATGTAGCGAAATCGTAGTTGACGTCGAGATAAAACTGCAAGTATTACATCGATTACAATGGCGATCAGGGCCGTGCCTAGGTATTTTTGCCCTCGGGGCGTTAATGACATACGGAGGAGGTCTTTGCCCACTCGCTTTGCAGTAGGTGTGCTGCGCAGATATCAGAGTTGGTCATCGTTCGAATTGTTTTGAATAAATATTCAACCGAGCAAATTCGCTTCAGTCGAATATTTCATCGGGATTATTTGTTCGGGCAATCTAGGACGATCGTGTTAGTAACGAGTTAAAAATTGTGTAAATCTTACCTTGAACAGGGTAGAAACATGGAACCATCAATGAACACAGAACCGGAGAGCAGAATATACCAGCTCGTGGCCAATTCGCCGGTGCTGAAATAATTTAGATAATATTAACTAAACTATTTATAAACAACGTAATTATGTTATCTCTAATTTTTGGAAAGCTTTAATGTTCACTTGTATAATTCTTACATAATTTATAAAAAAGTTTGGAAAATCATATGGTTATTTTAATACCGCGAAAATATGAAAAAAAAAGGAGGAAGAAAGAAATTCAATGAACCCTTATAATGTGACCTTTAAACAAAAACAGTTTGTATGTCTATGAAGTGTAAATTATCACAGGTGTGTACCTCGAGTAATTTTCGTAAATAAAATACAGACTAAAAGATGAAAAAGTTTTAAGAAAACAGTTAAAAACATTTATGAAATGACTTTTATTTGTCTGAAAATATTTTTTGTATGCTCAAAGTACGTTCATTTGACCAAATTATACAAATTGTGCAATAGACGAGGTATACGAGTAGACTTTATATCTTATGGAATTTTTTGGTGAAAAAAAAAAATTCAAATCGTTCTGGAAAAATGATTTTCAGTTGCAGGGGCCAATTACAATCGTTTTTGGTGAATACATATACCCCCGAAATCCTACTCACTTTCGAGAAAAAAATTCTTTATCGAAAATACAATGTCTGACCATGAATGATGATTCCCCTGAAATTCGGCGAAATTGAAAAGTTTCAAATCGTTCTAAAAAAATTATTTCCGGCTGCAGGGGCCAATTACAATCGTTTTTGATGAATACATATACCCCCGAAACCCTGCTCATTTTCGAGAAAAAAATTCCTTACCGAAAATCTAATTAGGTTCTTAATTTTTTGACGAAAAAGAGATTTCAAATCGCTTTCGAAAAATTATTTTCGGTCGCAGGGGTCAATTACAATTATTTTTTTATATAAAAAAAATTCTTTACCGAAAATATAATGTGTGGCCTGAAATGTTTCCTAAAAATGTGTATGTTTTAAAAATCATAATTCTTGAACGGATTGGAGGATTTTAATGTTTCAAAATACAAACAACTTTTGTAATAAAAATTGCAATGAGACTCAAGAGCCCCAAAAAAATGTATATTGATTGTAAGGTCTACTCGTATACCTCATTTGTTTAATTATACTTTGAATTTATGGGAAGGGGTAACAGAAAAATGAAGGTCCCGCGATACCTACAGATGTTCAATGCATTCTCGCTGTTACTGCAGAAGGTAAGAAAGAAACACGTCGATAAAATACCATCAGGAATAAAAAACAGTGTCGATAAAGTAGCGTCAGTCATAAAAAAAGTTGTCGATAAAGACATTTCCTGTTATTTTTATTACACCCTCTGTTATAAACATAGCAGGAATCTTAAAAAAAAAAATACACATTATAATAATTTATCGATATTCGTACAAAAGTTCATTTGAATACTATTGTCTGAATGTATTTGTTTGAAAAAGTTCTTTCTGCAACGTTTCTGCATAAAATATCGAACATATAAGGTGAGTGCTTGTGACTAATCCCAAAGATATTACTTACTAATAAAGAACGTGGTTCGCATGATGCCTTTCATATCGTACAATTTTGCAAAGCCCACGGAGAATGGAATCCCTGCACGGACGTAATGCTTCTAGACCTAACAGACCATAATATATGATCTGTAGATCCTGAAAATAAAAAGAAAAGAACCATAGTAAGCATCAAATTGTCACAACAAAAATTCAAATACAATACAATTGATTTCTACTGAAAATCGAGCGACTAATTTCAAGATTACAAAGAATCCTGAGTACATACAAAATTTCAACCTTTACTAAAAACTGGAATGTCAAGTTTTAGTTAGTTTTTAATGTGGACACTTGAAATATAATATTGAAAGTTGCGTTTTAAATATTAAGACTAAACAGAGCAAACATATTTAAGTACACGCTTGTTTAAACAATTGAACAAATATCTAATTGTAAGTAAAATTGAAACAAAAGACGGTCATTGTCTAAGCGTTTCGCAACTCTCGAAATACATTCGAAAAACAACGTAGAAAGCTCTAGACAGATTCGCGACCTGTATTTATATTTAGTCGAATACTTCTCAGCCAACGAGCTTATCTTCAACCGCTGCAAAGTTGATGCTCGCGGGTAGAGGTTTTAGGGTCGAATCGCAGTGTTTGCGAAGTTCTTGGGCAAATATTCACCTCGAAAGTGTATCGTTTGCACGCTATCGGTGCATCGGTGTTGGCGAAGCAATCTACGAACTCGAGCGAGCCGCGCGCGCCAACCCAATTGCCTCTAACTCGACCCTAATGTTGCCATGTTATCTTACACTATGATCGCCATACTATCGTTATCCAATGTGATGAATGAAACCGGTAATCGCACTTACGCGACCAACCAAACTCAATGAAACTGTTCTTTTTGCTGGGCATGTTCTATCACTTGAATGTTGGTAATTGACAGCCATTTTGTAATAATAATAGAACCACCGTGATTCAGCACCAACAAAGTACTTCTAATGGCTCCTTCTTCGAACTGTGACTACAAGCTTTTCACTCTGTTAATTTTTTAAGAATTGCACTAACAAGGGGTGTATTCATTCTACGAGAATTATTTGTAAAAATTCTTCCATCGTATTATTCTTCTTGAAAGAATGAAAAATTTCTGAGATAAGGAAAAGTCTCTGAAAACTGTACACAGAAATTTTAGGTGCCATAAAAATCAAATTCTACTGGATACATATAGAAATTCATACGAAAACACGGACTATCAGTCACCTAAAATCCCCTTCGCGGATCTGAAACAAATGGCCAAAGACGTAGGAAATAAAAACACGCGTGACATCATAACCAACGAAGGAATAACCAGAGGAACCATTTCCATACCCAAAAAACCGAACCCTAATATACCCATACACCCAGTGGTCTTTTACGTTTCATTTCGCATATATTTCTGCACGATCCTGCAAAAGATCGATAATTCAAACAACGAACAACGAAACAAAAAAAAACCCCCCAGAAACAAACTTCTATTTTAGTCCCAAAGCGCACTGGAAACGAATTAATCATGAGCGACGTGCTCTCGCAGAAATGTTCGCGTCGCGTCAACATTTACGTAAACCTAAATTTCAACTTTTTAACGCTCGAGCAGCGAGCGTGTTTCAAGCCCGCGTCGCTCGAGGATCCATAATTAAACTCTTTCGAAAAAGTTAATAACAGAATGTACTTCCGACGCGAACCGAAATAATCAAGCATCGTTGGTCAAGCATTGTTCACACGGGACACGACGCAGGCGAACGAATAATTTACAGCCGACGTCCGTTGTTTCGTGCTACCGCGCTTCTGCGGTATCAGAGACGAAACACTCGCGACAAACGCATTAAACCCTTGTTTGGTGTTTGAGCAGACAAGACACCGACGATCGATGACGCAAGGGATCGAGTGAGGTAAGGATTCAATTTCCACGCTTGATCTGCAGCTAGACGAGCAGGCCTGTTGATCGACTTCCATAGAAAGCGAACGAACTTTCATCAACGTAATTCCAAGTTTGGCGGACAGACAACGGCTGAATTAGTAACGTCGTCGTTACGATGATTAAACCTCCCGCGCGTGACGTATATGATAATGCAACGTCGACCCCCGTGATCATCGATGTTACACGATTACAGGGAAACGTTATCAAAACTGACGGGGGAAGACTGTGCCCTACCAGCGAAATTATCGAATTAGCATGCACGGAAAATTACGTCGAATTTGCGATAATACAGCGGCCCGGAATACGGATTAACAGGCCTGGAATTCGTTGTTCGGTTTAATTTATTTTCGTTTGAGATAATTCTCTATTAATATTTATTTTCTACGTTACTGTATGATTTTTGGTTTTGGTTAAATTTTTATATTACTTCTCATTTGCAATTTTTATTTTTATATGTGGTCTTAAAAAGGTGGTATGCTAATAAAAATAATCCCTCACTACATGTGATTTGCTGAGACTCTTTTTTCGATCTAAGGAACTCTATTCTATTAATATTTACTATTTTCTATGTTATTATATGATTATCAGTTTTAACTAAATATTTTTATTACCACCCATTTGCAATTTTTATTTTTGTACGTGGTCTTAAAAGAGTTCTATGCTAATAAAAGTAACTTTGAATCTTGAAGCAATTTTTGCAAGATTTTCGTTCTAAGAAATTCCACTCTATTAATATTTACTATTTTCTATATTACTATATGATTTTCAGTTTTAACTAAATTTTTGTATTACCACTCATTTGCAATTTTGATTTTTGTACATGGTCTTAAAAAGGTGATATGCTAATAAAATAATCCCTCACCATATATGATTTGCTGTGACCCTTTCTCTATCTAAAGAATTCCATTCTATTATTATTTACTATTTCCTATACTACTACATGATTTTCAGTTTTGGCTATATATATTTATATTACCACTCATTTGCAATTTCTATTGTTGTACGTGATTTTAAAAGGGTGATATGTTAATAAAAATAAAATGCTTCATCATATGTGATTTGCTGTGACCCTTTTTCGATCTAAGGAATTCCACTCTATTAATATTTACTATTTTCTATATTATTATAGGATTTTCAGTTTTAACTAAATTTTTGTATTACCACTCATTTACAATTTTTATTTTTGTACCTGGTCTAAAATGAGTGCAATGCTAATAAAAATAACCCCTTACCATATGTAATTTGCTGTGATCCTTTTTCGATCTGAGGAATTATATTCTATTAATATTTACTATTTTCTATGTTACTGTAGGATTTTCAGTTTTGGCTAAATTTTTGTATTACTACTCATTTGCAATTTTTATTTTTATACGTGGTCTTAAAAGAGTTCTATGCTAATAAAAATAACTTTGAATTTTGAAGCAATTTTTGCAAGTTTTTCGTTCTAAGAAATTCCACTCTATTAATATTTACTATTTTATGTATTACTACATGATTTTCAGTTTTAACTAAATTTTTGTATTACCACTCATTTGCAGTTTTGATTTTTGGACTTGGTCTAAAAAAGGTGATATGCTAATAAAATAATCCCTCACCATATATGAATTGCTGTGACCCTTTCTCTATCTAAAGAATTCCATTCTATTATTATTTACTATTTCCTATACTACTACATGATTTTCAGTTTTGGCTATATATATTTATATTACCACTCATTTGCAATTTTTATTGTTGTACGTGATTTTAAAAGGGTGATATGTTAATAAAAATAAAATGCTTCATCATATGTGATTTGCTGTGACCCTTTTTCGATCTAAGGAATTCCATCCTATTAATATTTACTATTTTTTATATTATTATAGCATTTTCAGTTTTGACTAAATATTTGTATTACTTCTCATTTGCAATTTTTATTTTTGTATCTGGTCTAAAAAGAATGCTATACTAATAAAAATAACCCCTTACCATATGTAATTTGCTGTGATCCTTTCTCGATCTGAGGAATTATATTCTATTAATATTTACTATTTTCTATGTTACTGTAGGATTTTCAGTTTTGGCTAAATTTTTGTATTACCATCCATTTGCAATTTTTATTTTTGTACGTGGTCTTAAAAGAGTTCTATGCTAATAAAAGTAACTTTGAATCTTGAAGCAATTTTTGCAAGTTTTTCGTTCTAAGAAATTCCACTCTATTAATATTTACTATTTTATGTATTACTACATGATTTTCAGTTTTAACTAAATTTTTGTATTACCACTCATTTGCAGTTTTGATTTTTGGACTTGGTCTTAAAAAGGTGATATGCTAATAAAATAATCCCTCACCATATATGATTTGCTGTGACCCTTTCTCTATCTAAAGAATTCCATTCTATTATTATTTACTATTTCCTATACTACTACATGATTTTCAGTTTTGGCTATATATATTTATATTACCACTCATTTGCAATTTTTATTGTTGTACGTGATTTTAAAAGGGTGATATGTTAATAAAAATAAAATGCTTCATCATATGTGATTTGCTGTGACCCTTTTTCGATCTAAGGAATTCCATCCTATTAATATTTACTATTTTTTATATTATTATAGCATTTTCAGTTTTGACTAAATATTTGTATTACTTCTCATTTGCAATTTTTATTTTTGTATCTGGTCTAAAAAGAATGCTATGCTAATAAAAATAACCCCTTACCATATGTAATTTGCTGTGATCCTTTCTCGATCTGAGGAATTATATTCTATTAATATTTACTATTTTCTATGTTACTGTAGGATTTTCAGTTTTGGCTAAATTTTTGTATTACCATCCATTTGCAATTTTTATTTTTGTACGTGGTTTTAAAAGAGTTCTATGCTAATAAAAGTAACTTTGAATCTTGAAGCAATTTTTGCAAGTTTTTCGTTCTAAGAAATTCCACTCTATTAATATTTACTATTTTATGTATTACTACATGATTTTCAGTTTTAACTAAATTTTTGTATTACCACTCATTTGCAGTTTTGATTTTTGGACTTGGTCTAAAAAAGGTGATATGCCAATAAAATAATCCCTCACCATATATGATTTGCTGTGACCCTTTCTCTATCTAAAGAATTCCATTCTATTATTATTTACTATTTCCTATACTACTACATGATTTTCAGTTTTGGCTATATATATTTATATTACCACTCATTTGCAATTTTTATTGTTGTAC